AAATGTGGACCCCGACAAAAAGGCCTGACAATGTGTCTCGCGGCTATTGCTTGCTTAAGCTGAAAAACTGCTGTATCTCAGTTAAGCTTTATTTGTGTACGTACAGAACTTTAGGATTAATTAATGAAAACACAGAAACATTTTCATTTTCCTGTTTTAACTACAGCTTTCCAAGACAGAAGAATGGAGAGAACTGCCAGAACACTGTTTGAAAGACACAGGGGTTCCAGCGAACACATTTCTTCAGGCACTTTTGAGCTCTAAGATATGGAACAAATACAAGCCAGTGAACCAAGTCTGAATGCAAAGTGCAATCAAAACACACTGCTATTTGGCAAGTGGCACTTCCCAGATCCAACCAAAATTAAAGCCCACAGCTATGGTACTTCTTGTGTGAGACAAGTTAAAAATGGGTCCTGCACCGCTGAGTTTACAGAGCTGGGAGGGAAATGGAAGTTCGGAAAGCAAAAAAAACTTCAAGGCCAATGGACAAGGAAAGCCACAGACATGATTGTAACACAGAGCCTCTCAGTTCTCATTTCAAAAGAAGCATCTGTCAAGTTAGAAGCAGAACAGTAGCTAAAACCTGCCATCTCCTCGTTTGCAGAGTAAGATGCCACAGCACCTTGTTACTTGGCATGTTGTTTCCAACTTGGAAGAGATAGGTGCAATATGGCCCAACATCCTTGAGAAGATACTACCTACAGGTTTTACTAAATTTTGTGGACTAACTATACAAAACAACTCTGAACTATACAACAACAATTTTTCCCCGTATTCAGGATTTCAGCAAGTACAGCTCCCAATGGTAGTCAGGTCTCTGCCATGTACTTCACTTTTAAGAAAAACTCATTCACCTCTCCCAAGGTTTGTTGCTGTGCTTTCCCTTGGAAAAGAAGCTGAATTAGCTTCCAGTGTAATGCAGCCTTGGCAGAACCTGATCAGAGACCTCAGCTGAACCACTCCTTTAAAGAGTGGGCTTCAAGACATGCAAGCTGCTGTCCTCACCCCTGAGGCTGGTGAATGACTCAGACAACCATCACAGCATCAACCATCTCCACCTCCACTGGGTCAGAAGACTCAGCCCCTGAGTCTGTCACTGCATCATCAGATGCAAAAAATTCCAAGTTTAAGCTGAAATGGAAGCTGCCTACTTCAGGGAATAGATAGTGCTGCTAGACCAGCTGTGCTTTTGTTAGAAATCTCTCATTCGTATGTCAGTTGATGAAAATACAGCATTAGAAAAGTGACAGGCAGCTGACTGCACTGAATGAGTACAACTGACATCCTCAGATATGGGGGGAAAAAAAAACAATCCAACATTTAACGGAAAAGAAAAAAAGCTCTGTCCCTGCCCTGGGGACACAGTGCCCCATCACAAGGCACTACATCACCAGACAGGCACGATGCACAACCACACAGATTTCTACACATGCATGCAGACATGGAACTTAAGTTACTCCACCTAAAGTTCAAAGGGATGTAATTTGTGAATGGTTTGTTAAAAGAAAAGATTTTACCCAATTATCTCCCATCTTCTCTGCTAGAAAACTATTATGTATTCCAATCAGCATCTAAGTACCCAGTCAGAGGAGGAAAGGGGCATTATCTGATTATCACTGTGAGGACCACAGGCTGGACCAAACTGAATGGCTCAACCATGGAAGAACAGATTCCAGAGCTCCCCAGAGGCCAGCCCTGGCTCAGTCACACCTTCACAGGGCTTTCCGTGCACTGCAGGTTGTGAACACTGATCCTGGGCTGAGGCTGTGAAGCTGCCACTCTCTGATCCATCACCACTGAAGAAAGGCAGTACGGAAAAAATCAGGACAAATGCTTTTCTGTCAAGGGAAGGAATTCAAAGCGGATCTGTTAAATTCTGCACAGCTTCTAATTGTGGAGAGGTTTTATTTGGAATTTAAGTACCTCCCTGGGGTTTAGCTTAATCCCCTTTGGAAAGGACAGTCCCACACACAGCTTAACTGATTAATGCCTGTGTGTAGATGAGCTATGAATTCCCCCCCAGTCAGTGTTCTTGCTGTTTCAGGTTGGAACCCATGCAGGTGAACCGTCTCAATACTTTGGAAGCACCTGGGGTTGGGCATTTTATCCTCCTAAGTGAAATTTCTTTCCCCCTGGCAGAGCCCAATCTAAATCAGGGAAGTCAGGACACCAATATCACACTTCAAGTAGCTTCACTATTTCACAGAATCATCACATCAGCTGAAGAGGTTACAAAAATCTATTTTAACACAATCCACCTGCAATCTGTTTTCAATGACTCCCTTAAGACTCCTTAAATGTAGGTGCTTCAGATACTTCATAATAAGCACAGTATTTTACCCTCTGCTGATGACACCTGGTCTTGTGAGTAAAACCTCTCCTGAGTTCAAAAGGCAGCCCATTTAGACTGCCTCTCTTTCTGCTATCCCCGCTCTTGAGAGGAGGTGTTAAGATTCCCATTCTCTGTTCCTCCTTCCCCTTCCCAAAGCCATTATCCCTCTAAAGCCTTTCAGAAGTGCTTTTTATTTTAGATTGCACACAAGAACAACAAAGCCAGGTAACTGTCTATAAGAACTGGAACATTTCTTGCCAAAAGGATACATGCCTTTTATATTAAAGCAAAGACCCCATCCATCTCTTTCTCACTCTCCTACCCCACCCTCCCCAAAAATTCTACTTTGACAATTATTGTTTCTTCATCCCCAAAAGAAAAGCTGACTATGACACTTTCTGCTCTGGATGCACTAGCAGTTGAAAACAACAGGTGACAGTCTATAGGTAGGGAAGAAAAAGAAAAGACTGATTTCTTTTGCTTCTCCCACTCTCAATCCCAAAGAAAGGCCACCAGAGGTACCAGAATAAAATCAGGATGAAGCCAAGAGGGATGCTGAAAGGCAAATAAAGCACCCACAAGCTAGATTTATTGTACTTTTTATCTCCAGTTATGTAAAATACAACCCGCTGGGCAAAACAAGCCCATGGCAAAATTTCTGACCGCTCTGTTTCTTTTTCTCTGCAATGCTTCCTGGGGACACTTAACAGGATGACTTTTGACAAGTTGTTCTGTGACACAACTGGTACAGTCTGGTTTCCTACCAAATACTGCATCATGCGCTGATACACATGATGGAGCTCACAGCCTCACTCTATCCAGAATTTTGTGCTTGCGTGTGCACCCCCCACATGCATACACACAAATAAATATGCAGGGTTAAACTCCTGTCTGACACTCCCCTGAAGATCTTTCCCTGACCAGGGATCTACCTTTGTGAAACATATAAGGATTTCAGCTTTAAGACTTGTACTTCTGAAGACAAAATCTGCAGTAGCTATTCAAGGGATTCAGAAATTAGAGACAACAGACACATAATATACTCATGGTATTACATAGAGATATTGAGCCATGATAGATAATCTATCACACGTATTTAATTTAGTAAGTCAAAGCTTTAGACTAACATACCTAAAAAGAAAACCTTTAATTTAAAACAGAATTATTCCCCCCAATGCCCCAGCTTGTTTGGGTTTTTTCCTTTTCTTTCCTGTGTGTTTTACTTTAAACAAATGATGCCATATGAAGGGCCAAGAGCCACCAAATTTTGCCAAAAAAAAAAGTGAGAACTGTGTATATGAGTATTAAAAAAAAACACAAAAGACCTACTGATGTGTGGACTTGTAGGAACAATTTTCAACAATACCTGGTATTTAGAAGACGAGGCGTAAAGTATGCATTTATTTTCATGCAGTGTGTTGTATACCTGATAGTCTTCATTTATGAAGTTTTCAGTGATCTACAGTGAAGTCAGGGTCTTCCTAAGCCTTACCCACTGTGCACAGGTTCCATTCAGGCTCACATTATAACATTCATAACTGACTTAGTGTACAATTTTAATAGGCTATTGCATAGCCCAGCATATGAACAGGTTAATTAATTTTAAAACACAACATACCGAACAACCATGTATTATTTTGTAGTGTGTTCATAAAAATTAATATTTATCACTTTATAAACCTCTCTGCAAAGTGAAATGGGCTGTATGATTGAGCTGATGATGTCTTTTGGGTTTTAATGAGGAGACAAACCTTGGCCTGTCTGGGCAACTGGTAATTAGTCTGCAGCAGGAAGAACAGAAAGTTTTCTTCAAGAAAAATAGAGGAAAAGTCCTATAACATATACAGTTGAAAGGGCTGGGGGTTAGAAGACAAGAATTCAAGTCAAATAAAGTGTAGCTGCTTCATACAGATCAAAAGTTGTGTGAGCATATAGGATGCACCTTCAAAATAGATTAAAAAAAAAAAAAGAAAAAGGCCTTTTGCAGAATTTTCTCTGAATGTCTGAAAATTCCAGACTCTCAGAATCATACTTGGAAGATACCACAAAGTACAGCATGTAGAATGAATTCATGCGAAACAGAGGCAGTAGAGAAGCATGTAAATGCGCCAGATGAAGCAAGACCAGAAGAAAACCTGCAAGAAAATGGTAATTACTACCTCTCCAAAAAAGAGTCAGGTAAAGATAAAAGGTAGTAGTGTGGCTCCTCTGTGGCACTGGGTGTTCCCAGCTGACACAAACACTACTAACTAACTACAGTAATGCAGTTCTTAAGTGACACATACAAGGGAAAAGAAGGGCAAAAGCATAAAGCAAGATTCACTCACAAATATCAGTTAGATTCAGATTCAAATCAGTCCTCTTATCTTTATAACTGGGAAGGATTTTTCTCTGGCTTAAACTGTTATATAAGAAAAATCAGGAGTATAAGAGCACCCTTTGAAGAGAGCCACACATTTATGGAGAGCTAATTACATTGTTGATCATACAAAACAGATTCATTACGAACTCAACATGTGGCACAAAAGTCATTTCAAGAGTGGCCTTATTTCAGCATTAAGCGAACCGAGAAGAGAAAATCCTCATAAAAAGCCAAGAGTTATAAACATAATCCTCCAGTACGCCATGTCTCAGCAGGTAAGATTAAAAAGACAAAACAGAACACTTCAAGACTGCAACAACAAAGATTTTATTAGAGTGAGGAATATATAATCACTGTACAGAAAACATTGAGAGTAAAAGTGTGAAATACTGAACCACTCACTGTGCATTCTGGTTGCTAAGCCTGTTAGTGATGATTTAATTGGATGCCTATGGCTGGGTAACTTATCAACACTTAAAAACATTTTTGTAAGCAGGCAAGAAATGATTGTCCTTTCTAAATGGTAACATTGCCCAAGGTGGGAAATAAAGGATCATATGACATTACATTTAAAATTTACTCGGGGAAGAAAGTTGGTGGGAAGGGATGAGAGGAGATTGCCATAGTTCTGTGGGGTTTTTGCTGCACCGAGGAACTGCGGCCTCTCTGCTGTAACTTTGTATGTACTTATATTTTAAATAAGAAAATATATTAACAGGTACAAGAATTCCTCATGAAATCCACCCTCTTCCAGTTATCTTTGGCTTGAGAGGAAGTTGCTTACTTCGACCTTTGAGGCCCCCAAGGATGGTATAAACAATCATTTTCCTTTAAAAGTTAGTTGGTTTTAAACCTGTGAAGAACAGAGACTCAAAAAGCTTCTCTACTTTCTGAGCTCTCAGTGCTCCATATTCCTAAATCTGCAGCTTTTTCCTTCCAAAGCTGCTTGGTGAAGTCCACAAGGGCTTGAGAAAGTCTCTTTCTTGAGCATTTGCTTGTTTCCAGCACGTGTAGGCAAAAAGGTTTATTTTCTCCAATACTAAAAGAAAGAAAAAACAACACAGAACAGAGTTTATTCAACCTGGTTTACTCTCAAAGTACAAAAGTTTTGAGCAAATGGAATTCTGTGCTTTAAAGCATGGTGAAATGCCTAGGGGCAGGTGATTTTCACAACCTTTAAGAGAAAAAACAGCACAGAAACCAACTCTATCTGCCCCATGACAAATGATTTCAGTTAATCCACACATTCCTGCTGGTAGATATTCCCTATTTTATTTTGGCATCCAATAGGAAGGAAAACAGAAGCCTTGTCCTGAGGTCCCTGCATTCTGGGATACAGCAGCACTGGGATTAAAGTTTGGAGATATTCTAAAGCCATGAACTTCCACAGCGTAGTAACTGGTAACTGAGTTTGCTCCTAAGCAGAAAGCAGTCAAGCACTGATACAACCTCAAAGCTGTACAGATACACTTTAGGTGGGACATCCCATAACCTACAAACTTTCACTTTTCTAAGCACTGCTTAACATCACCTCTAAATGCAACTGCCTTGATTTGTAAATTTACATGGGAAATAAAATGTGAAATTAGACACTTTATCTGGAGATTGTTTCCTGCCTCTGCAGAAATAAATAATGCTGCTAAAATGAAAATGACTCTCCAGGAAGAAATGCCTATCCAGTCTTCGTTAGTATCGATTAAAATTAGTATGCACTTCTTCCTCCTCTTGAGCACTATTGTACAACACCATTATCTTATACTAAATGTTAAATTTATTTACTTTTCAGACAACGTTTTTTAGATAACTGTTAAGGAACTGTTAAGGAGACAAATAGTGCATAAAAAGGTCTGTAAAATATCTGATAAAATAACAATTAGAGATACATTAGAAATTAAACCAAAGGCTTTGTAACACAGCTGTGAACTAAAATCAATTTACAATATTGTTACAAAAGAACAATACTGAACTGATTCCAAAACATCCTGAGTACTTTATCCAAGCATTTTACTTACTACAGAGTGACATACAGAATACTGAAAAACCGTGGTTGCTATAATAACCAACCTTATTAAAAAGCTCTTAAGTGCTGCAGTAAACTGCACAGATTCCTTGCTGGCCTATTTTGGAGGCAGTAAAAGAACAAATATCTATTGATAAACAAAAAAAAAAGTGTCGAAGAGCATTTAAAATTAAATATTATGTGGCATTAAGCTAAATCTGCTGTTTACACTTGTGTCATAACACTTGTGTAGTGCTGGGGTTTTTTTCAGTCAACTTATAATACTATTAAGAGCAAGACCATTGGCAATTCAGTGTAGAATTATAAATGAACAAACTGAAGCTTCAGTTGGCCGTTGTGTGAGATGACCCCTTTACAGCAAATTCAATGACCCATTAATTGCTCATTTAATGATTTACAGACTCCATGAAGACCACAGCAGCAAATTCTTAAGACCGCCTCAGACAAAAAGGAACGATAATGATTTTGACCAATGAAGTACTAAGTATCACTAAAAAGCATCCTATTTCATTTGTAATATAAAGGGAATAGATATTAATTACATTAATTTCAGCAAATTTTTTGTAAGTTTTTTTTTAAATACATGAATAGACCTCAGATTCTTAAGATTTGCCAACTGCTGATTAATTTGTGACTATTCTTTTTGCATCCTCCTCACACTTGCAAGCATCCAGTACCCTTGCAGGGGCAAGCCTGTAGGTGTAACTGTTTTTAGAGCATGAACAAAGGCAATAACTGGAACTCCAAAACTAGCAGAAGAATCCTACATCACATGGATGCAAGAGATGCCCTAAGCACTTACAAAGCAACACACTACTGTTTTCATTCTATGTATCAGATGCCAAAATCAGAAAGGAAAGCTAAAAGCACACAGCTTGCACACTCTGCAGCAGTGCACAAGGGGAGTTCAGGGCCTTAGTAAACACAACACCTAAGACTGTGCTGCAGTTCAGCACATGCCACTGGAGAGGTAAGATCCCCAAAATGAGATAACTGTGACAGTAGTGACTGGCACATCTGCTTATTTGGTATCCAAAGTGTAATAAACACTGTGAGCTTGCTTTTTATCTCCCAAAAATATGAATGCAAGATGCTGCTGTATGTATCAGCCTGTTGCTTAGAACACCATTCCTGGGAGCTGAAATCACAGAATGGTTGGAAGGACCTTAAAGATCAACTCGTTCCAAACCCCTGCCATGGGCAGGGACACTTCCACTAGACCAAGCTGCCCTAAGGCCCATCCCATAGAAGCCTGGGATAATATTCTTTGGTACTTTTCCATATTCTGAACAATCTGTCCTGAAATTTTAAAAGCAGTTGTAAGTGCTGAAGAAAGATCAAGCAAGAACAAGCCTGAATGGAAAAGCAAAGATTATCTAAATCAAACCTGTAAACTCTGACTTACTAATACAGCTTCACAAATGCAATAACAATTATCTGGGAGAGTCTGGCAGTCCCCTAAAGCCAATGAAGTAAAAAGACATGTCTTAAAAAGGTGACTGTACATGATTAAAAGGAAGACCTACACACATATTGGAGGCACTTAAAATTTTGATCTTGAATCTTTGTAATGGCCTTTTTTTTTTACTTGAACTCCAAGATAGATGCGAGGCATTTCGCACTTTGTGTTATGAAATTACAAAGACCAAAGTAATCCATAGTAAATGACAACAAATTTCAGATCATTTTCATATAATTACACTTCCTTTTTTTACATCACATAAAAGATCACCTTTATTCAATACATGTGTGGATGTAAATGACATTTTTCCCTCTTATTCTGCACTATATAGTGCAATTCTTCAAAATAAAAACTAAGTTTGAAGGCAACAACAGAAGATCTTTAGCAAAATGGATAGCCATAAAAATAGTTCTGCTCAGTTATGTCAGAATTTGATCAACATTTTGAAGAAAGAATCAATAAAAATAACTGGGATAATGACTGACTTTTCAGAGCAGTTTCATTTTTCCTCTTAATTCCATTTCTTGTCATGAGTCTAATACTTAAGGCAAACAGTGTAGTATCTTAAATCCTGGACAAGCACAAACCAAATGTCAGATGGTTTTAGAGGAAAAAAAAAACCACTGTAAATTTGAAGCAGAAATGCTTTTGTGAACACGGTTTTGTTCTACACGAGAATCAAATATTTTATTGTCTGACAGTGGCTTGCAGTAAGACAGCACAGAGTTGGAGGCAGCACTGCAGGGGGGGCAGAATCCCACCAGAGCACAGCAGGGGGGCAGAATCACTTCCCTTGCCAGGCTGCTGGGGATGATCTCAGGACACACTTGGCTTTCTGAGCTGTGAGTGCACAAGGCTGGGTCATATCCAGTCTCTCACTCACCAGCACTCCAAGTCCTTCTCAGCAGGGCTGCTGTAAATCTCCTCATCCCCCAGCCTGGATTGATACCAGGAACTGCCCTGACTGCAGGTGACAGAACCTGCATATTTGCTAAGGTGTTTCTCAACTTCTTCTAGGATCACTGTTAGTTTGTTCTCTAGTCCTGGCAGTTAAAACAGAGTTTTATTCTGTAGGAAAATGAACTAAAACATCACAGACAGTGAAGTTATGTCTTAAACTCAACCACTTGCAACCTCTCACCTTGTTCAGCTTTCACACAAACCAGTAACTGAGCAGAAGGTATCTCACCTGTGCAAACTTGTGTATCTGCTCCACCACAGCTGCAAAGAGGGCATGAACACTTTCATCAATTAGACTCTGCATATAATGGACAGCTTCCTCATCAGACAGGTCCAAACGAAACTTGTCCTGCACCTGGAATGGGGGCAGAAATGGCTAAAATTAGTTCAACACATGCACTATGCTATCTGTGTATGCCGCAGCAGACACAGTGATTTCAGCTAAGACAGTTTAGTAGAGAATCTCTCTTTTACTTCTAAGTTACAGCAGATTGCTGGAAATTTACAGTGCTATATAAAACACCTATTTTAAATCTTTTCATCAAAATTAGTGTTTAAATAAGCTAGAAACAGACCCCTACATCTCATTGCCCCAACTACTAATTTCAAAGCTCAAGGCCAGAAAGTCAAGGGAAGTACTTGGATATAGGAGTTTAAGCAGAACTGAAGTGGTGCGAGAAAAAAGAGAAAATACTCAACATTTACTAAAAATGAAATGCCACTTGAGAAAAAACACACAGCTTTGCATATTAAATACAAATTTGGAAGAGTCTGGATGAACCTAATAATTTTTGAAAAGATGTAACACTTCCTTACTCTACATCTATTTTCAGGTAACACCATCTTTTAGAAACTGTAAGGCAATAAGTAAAGAACACAGAATTAGAGGAAGGGCTGAGCAAATCAACTCTCTCAAAACTGACCTTTATGTGGTGGGTGTGAAGGTCATTAACTTTGATTGTATCCACCATCCACAAAAGGCTGGAGACACTGCTACCCCTCACATTGTTTTTCCTTTTGACAGCAACATAGTTTAATCATTGCTCCAGTAACACAATTCATGTATGAATTAAAAGCTTAATGCAGTATAATTAAGAATACAGCAACATCCATACTTCCCTATTTCCACCTCGGCAAAGCCAAGAACATTAATGAAGGAGCCTTTCTGTGACTTCCAACTAATTTCATGGCAGTTTTTCAGAACTGATCCAGATGGTAACACACTCTAACATATAGGGCTAACTAACCCTAACTCTACTGAGCTTGGATTTATCCCCTTCCCCTTTCAAAACTCTTTTGAGAAATCTAGATCTGAGCATTGCCTAATCAATACTATCCCCTTAAAGTACTAGTTACCTTGCAAAGAAGTGCTAATCACAATATGTAAACTGCCCAGCAAATCCGCATTAATTGCAGAAAATTTATTGCTGCCACCTAGTAACATGCTTTATTCCCATAAAGATAAATCTCAAATGACATGAGCTCTTCTGGAGACCATCACATCCAAGTACTTCAGTCTCCTGCATAATGAACTAGGTAAAATGGTATCAAACAATTTTTTTCACCAAGTCCTTATCTTCTACTTTATCTACGAGAATCTCCTTTATGGTATCTTTATACAAAGACAGAATGTTTCACATTCTCAGTAAATTGTTTCAATGATTAATTGCCCTATTTAACAAGCGTGACTTATTTGCTATCTGAATTTGTCCAATTTCCATCTCAAACAGCTGAGCTCATTAAAACTTTTTCTATTAAAGAGCTGCCTATCAGAAATCCCCCTCATGTAGGCAAATATCAAATGATTTATGTTTCTTCTTAACCTTCTCGTGGCTGTGACTAAGGAGACTAACAGTAAGACAGAATCAAGTCTTTCCTGAATGTTTTCCATGCATTCCCCCTTTTTTTTTAGGCATTGACAAAAATGTGAGCCAAATTATTTCAACAGTGCACTTAATAAGGTTGGATTTGTGAGATGATACTGCCTTTCCTTCCTATTTTGTATGCTTTCTGTGTACCAAGGAAACCACATACTCAACCATACTCTTTATGACAGCAGAAATGCTCCAAGATTGTGGTTTAGCATAACTCTGTGCTCCTTTCAAAAGCAACCTACTATAAAATAGTACCCTTCAGAGCTGTAATAAAAGCCTAAGTTAGCCTGCTAAGTATGGGAAAGATCATGGAATCATAGAACGGTTTAGGTTGGAAAAAAGCTCTATGATCATAAAGTTGCTTTGCTCAAAATACCATTATAACTGATACGTTGGAAGTAAGCATAAATTGATTTTTCCTCAACTTCCTCTCAAAAGGAAGTTTGATCAACATGAAAGAATGGATTAAACAGGAAAAGTTCAAACTTTCAACAAAGCATGTACCAGGGAGAGATTCAGCGGATATTTCAGGCTAATAGTATAGAACTTTTATCTTCGTAACAAACACGAGGAGAAGGAGGTTTATTATCTCCCACAGACATATCAGAAGTTTTTAGACAGCCAATGACGCACACAGTAGAATCCAACTGAAGTTAATGGACTATTCACATGCTTGCAATTATGCACAAGTTTAAATACCTCCCCAAATTACAGCACAGATTTCTTTCAGATCTATTTCCATGCTCACAGAAAAGGTGATGTTAATGAGAATTCAGGAAAATTGCTCACTCCAGGCTTCAAAAAAAGGAAAAATCACCGTAATGCTCTTTTACACAACTCTAGTAATCAAACACTTCAGCGAACTTCTAATTTGCTCATGGAAGACCTTCTCAGAATTCCTGCAGTTAGGGATATTAAGATGCAGCTTAATTCTATGGAATTAATGACTAATTAAACCCACTTCCCACAAAACGCACTGGCACACTGATACATGTGCAAAGAAATTTATCCATGGTTAGATCTTAAAATCAGTTTGCAATGAACAGCAGGATCAAATGCTGCTGAGTATCAGATCTTTGCATGAAAGTTTTTCAGCCCTGCATTAAAACTGCTGGAATCTAGATGAGAAGAAACACGGCAAAACTACAAATTATTTCTTGAGCTGCAACAGCAGCAACTGCCTTCTACTTCTTGTAGGAAAGCAACAGTAGTCCTCATTTGAAATCCCCAAGTTCCAACGTAAATGATGTATTCTAAAAGCCAGTAGTTTCTCACAGACCAGGCCAACTAGGAAGAGATTTTTGCACAGTGTTAAAAATACAGGTGAATTTGGGGGGTGAAATTCTGATGAGTTATACAGTTATCTCATTCTACACACTTATGAAGGATTGCCACCATGAAGGTATTGAAGATATTCCACCTGAAGATTTACTTAAAGCTGTCACTTTGATATTTAAATCAACAGTATTGTTTTAGTTTAGTATTTGTTAAATAGAAAATAAATATATTTGATGAATCTAGTTAAACTTTTGCTTTGTTTTGAGAAAAGGAAGTTTTAAACTCCACACCATAAACAAACACTGTTTTTCAACATTAGGTCTCAACAGAAGAACTGGAACATTCAAGGATGAAAAGGTTGAATGAACAAGTAGAGTCCATGAAGATACTGACATTCAACTTGAAATATTAAACGTATCCACTTCCTATCCCCCTGCAGAGTGGATACTTTAGTAATAAACTACAAGAGGATTGCAGAATTATATGAAACTATATAATTCTGAAAGTAGAAATTTTACTATCCTTCAGTAGAATTTAAAGCGCCTTGTAAGAAAGCTACTGTCAGTTATCATGGTAGAGCTTTTATTTTTCAAAAGACAAAAATTAAAAGGGGAAGAGACCATGAGGGACAGTTCAAAAGAAAATATGAGGGAGTGAGGGTGAGGAGAGAAGCATTTAAATATAAATTACTTGTGGCTGCACTGATCATCATCATGGTTGGGCTTCGCGAACAAAGATTTGGGAAGGCTCTATCCACATTTGTTACAGGCACGCTGGTGGCTTATGAGGCCAATATGTGACAGACATATCCGATTGCAAAAGGCACAGCAGAAAGACTCCTTAGACGGTGTATTCTGCAGAACACAGTTCTTTCTGCAGAACACAGTTCTTTCTGCATTGCGTTTTCTCCTCGAGAGTGATCCTGCGTGTGTTCTCAAAGGAGACAGCTGCGTTATAGATGGTGTGTCTCCAGGCCTCCCGACTGGCGGCCAGAGTAGACCAGTTATGATGATCAATATGGCCAAGGCTGAGATGTTGTTTCAGGGAGTCCTTGTATCTCCTCTTTGGGGCTCCTCTCATGCAGGCGGCTGGTTTGGACAAGTTCAAACCATAGAGCAGGATTTCTTAGGGAGGCAGTGGGTTGGTCCTTTCATCCTGGAGA